CTTTGACCATCCATTGCGGTTTTAAACAAAAAATATTGACAGAGCCACAAACCAACAGTCAAGCACAGACAACAAGGTCTGTGTCTGCTGTACTGTTGGACAGACTCGAAGCAAAACGACATGCCTGTGACTAAGTCAAAACATTTATCGAAACATTTTGATACCAACCGAGGATAGATAATTGCTATGAATGTCTTTCGATGCAGATGGTGCTCGTCGTCGCCGTTGTTGTGAATGAAGTTATACACACACAGTTAGATATACATAGACCTGCAAAAAAAAAAATGAAGTTCATGTAAAAATAAAACGATAGCAATCTTGTGAATGGACAATAAAACGTTTATTTACTTTTTTTCGGTATGCAATAATAAAAATTGTATCTAAACCAAATTAATTTAGATTAGAGTAACGAGTGTAAATATCATTTATCATTAGCAATGAACATTGTAAGATTAAAGTTTAAGCATTTATAATTTACACCAATATTATTATGATTCAGCTGATCCGGTCAGCATTGTTGAATCACACTGTGATATAAGGTATTATGTCAAGAATTATTTTTAAAATCATATTTTTTCATATCGAGAATAAGGCGTGATTTCTTAGTTTTTCAAATATCCCATAGACGCGGATTTGTTAAAAATATTTTTGTTAATAACCTATAGTTCACGCATATATGCTATTAAAAAAATAAGACATAACAAATAATATATTTATACAATTCACCACACTGTGGTACAGGGTATTATGTCTTTATACATATGTTTGTAACAGGCAAAAGGAAACGAGATAGACATATGGTTCATTTTGAGAATATGCATAGAATCGAATTCTAAGTCGATTTATGCATGTCCGTCCGTCCGTCTGTCTGTCCATGTTAAATTGTAAACAATGTACAGGTCGCATTTATGATCCGATTTGGATGAAATTTGGCATACGTCACTTATTTGGCCCAAGTACGAACCCTATTGACAGCGTACTGAATTCAGCCTAGAATGATGTGTGCATAGTTTCGTGAAAATCGGTCCAGATTTACATATAGGTCCCATATATGTTTTCGTCCGATTTAAGGGAACCCCCCATTGACGCTTTTACCAATGCTTGTTAAGGTTTGTAACTTTCCACATATATATTTGAAGATTTAAAGGAGAAGAAAAATAATTAGAAAAAATTGTAATTTGTTTTGGTGTTGTTTTTATACCCTTCACCACACTGTGGTACAGGGTATTATGTCTTTGTGCATATGTTTGTAACAGGCAAAAATAATCGAGATAGACCCATGGTTCCTTTTGAGAATATGCATAGAATCACTTTCTGAATCGATTTATGCATGTCCGTCCGTCTGTCCATGGATGAAATGTCCGATTTGGATGAAATTTGGCACAGCTCATTTGTTTGGCCCAAGGACGAACCCTATTGAAATTGGGAAAAATCGGTTCAGATTTAGATATAGCTCCCATATATATTTTTGCCCGATTTACGGACTTTAGACCCTGAAAATCTTTCGATTTGCACGAAATTTGGCATAGCGTACTGAATTGAGCAACGAAAGATGTGTGCCAAGTTTCGTGAAAATCGGTTCAGATTTATATATAGCTCCCATATATAGTTTCGCCCGATTTACGGACTTTAGACCCTGAAAATATTTCGATTTGCACGAAATTTGGCATAGCGTACTGAATTGAGCCACGAAAGATGTGTGCCAAGTTTCGTGAAAATCGGTTCAGATTTAGATATAGCTCCCATATATAGTTTCGGCCGATTTTTGGTAAATGGCGTACCAAAGTCCCTACATATCTTTCGATTTGCACGAAATTTGGCATAGCGCACTGAATTAAGTCTAGAATGATGTGTGCAAAGTTTCGTGAAAATCGGTTCAGATTTAGATATAGCTCCCGTATATATCTTCCTCCGATTTAAGGTAAATGGTGTACCAAAGTCCTTATATATCTTTCGATTTGCATGAAATTTTGCATAACGTACTGAATTGAGGCTAGAATGATGTCTGCCCAGTTTCGCGAAAATCGGTCCAGATTTAGATATAGCTCCCATATATAGTTTCGTCCGATTTCATGTTAATGGTGCCCCAAAGTCCCTATATATCTTTCGATTTGCAGGAAATTTGGCATAACGTACTGAATTGAGCCTAGAATGATGTCTGCCCAGTTTCGAGAAAATCGGCCCAGATTCAGATATAGTTTCGTCCGATTTCATGTAAATGGTGCACCAAAGTCCCTATATATCCTTCGATATATTTGGATAGAGCTTCCATATATATTTTCGCCCGATTTTAAGTAAATTGGACATCAAACTCTTCATGCTAGTCAGGTTGACATCAAATTTTGCACAACGTACAAAATTGAGCATAGAATTACGTAGTTGCGTTTTCTAGAAGTACAGACATAGCCCAACAGATAACCTATTTATAGTTGATTGAAGTCGATTTATATAACTTATGGATATATAGGTAGATTCACATTTAGATAAATATCACATATTTTATTTCATCCAATTTCATGTTAATAGTCCTGTTTAATATATCCATAGTGGTGAAGGCTACCATATAGTCGGCCCCGTCCGACTTTACTACTTTCCTTACTGGTTTGTAATTTAAAGAAGTCCTTATTTTTGATGGCGGGCATGATAACTCCTCACTGGAACATCGGAATCCGAAAATTCCAACGGTGTTAGAAAGAGTACATGTCTGGCTGTCGTATGAACTAGGATTATTGACTCTGCTCTAAAATTAACAAAATGGTGGACCTTTGAAAAAATATTTTTGGAAAATAGTCAATTTTTTACCAAAAACCAAGTTAAAAAATAACGAAAATATTCACCGATTGGCTTTATCCGATACACTCACAGAGTTATCGTGCCCGCCATTAGCAAAAGAGAAAAACGCGTTTAAAGTTTGAGAAGCCCTTTAGCCGTCATTTGATGCTGACACAATAAATCGGCTATATCTTCACGAGTTCTTCAGATTTTCGCATGAAATTTTGTAGGGACATTCTTGAATTAGTTTAGATTCGAATTAAATCAAAAAAAATTTTGACCCCGAGAATGGGGGGTCCCCTTAAAAACGTATAAGATATTATGTCAAAAATTTATTTAAAAACCAAACCAGTAGTTTTTACAAAAATATTCTTTAACATAAACATTTGGCGTGGCATTATTAAAAAAATCGAGTAACTAAAAGTTGTGAATTTTTTAAAAATATTTTCTTCATATAACACATAGGCTTATATTTTTATACCCTACACAACTATGTCGCCAAGGTATTATAGCCTTGTGCAGCTCCAACAGTTTGTAACGCCCCGAAATATTGGTCCTAGACCCATCTTTAAGTATACCGATCTCATATCTCGACTAGCTGAGTCGATCTAGACATGTGTGTCCGCCCGTCCGTCTGTCCATTATAATTTGTGAACACGATATAGGCCACAGTTATGGACCAATCTTCACGACATTTTGCATGTAGGATTTTGGTAAAGATCGGATAATATTTAGTGGATGAAATGGACCAAATACTTAATTTTTGTCTGTTTTTCTGGCCGTTCCAAAAGCCGAAATTATGGTCCGAACATCGCGAATTCTTACATGGAGAAGGGAATCGGGCCAATGAATAAGCATGCCTGTTTTGATAAATATCGGTCAATATTTATCGGGTCAAATGGACCCTGACTTTTGTGTGAAAAATTACAAAATTTTTGCTCCTGAAGGACATGTACTCGAGAAGTTGATAGTATATCCAAGAGGAGTTGCTGACCTTCAAATTGGTACCAATTATATGGCTGTATGTACTCGGATGTGGGAGTTACACTTAAATATTTACAGGTGCTTACGTACTCAGATATATATATAGACCCGGAAATATAATGCCAATCGCTTTGAAATTTTCCATGAGGATCTAGGTATGATCAAGGATAACGCCTATAATTTTCGGCGATGGTCAGATAATAATATTGGGATGCAGTGGACCGAAAACTTAATTTTATGTGTTTTTTTCGAGTCGATCTATAGGCCACAATTGAAAGCCGAACATCACAACACAATCCACGGTAAGGGAACCTAGACAAGTAATTAGAAGGGCTGTACTGAATATTAGTAATATTCGGAAAATATGTCAGTGTAAGGAAGAGGTGCTGTTGACCTCTAATCGGACAAGAGGGTTGAACTATCACCAAATATTGCCCACGCTCGGAATAAATATCCGCAGAAAGTTTGCGTTCCGTCGTGGTTGTGCAGGGTATCGTATGGTCGGCCCCGTCCGACAATACTGCTCCGCTCACGGGTTTTAATTGTGTTTTTTAAGTATCCCATTGAGTTCGCTTTTTATGCATTTTTTATATATACAGTTTTTCTTTAAATAATTCACAAACAACAGTTTTTCGTATAAAAGTTTTTATTCTTTATTTACAAGATATGAAACAAACACACATTCATTTGCAAATTTATTAGATTTAAATAATTTGGCTAGAAAGAACTCAAAAATCTCATAAAAGAAAATTATTTAAAAAGAAGATTACTTAAATTACCAAGCACTCTCTCTAACTCTGATCATTTAAATAGTTCCTCAAAGTATGTTCTCTTAAAGCTCTCATTTTTATTGATGTCAACTCTATCTGCTTTGTTATTTTCTATTGTTTTGCTTTCTTCTCTAATACTTAATGGTAAAATGATATTCTTTAGTTTATATAGTCTCCTTCTCCTCAATCAAACTAAGAAAGAGAAGGCTTAAATAAACCAAAGAAACTAAAATTTCAAATCGTTTCGAATGCAATTTCTATAAAAAGAAAAAACAAAAAATAAATGACAAGATGAAATGGAGTAAAAGGTCATGATAATGATTAAAAATAATTTAACAATGAATTATTGTCGTTCGTTCGTGAGTCCATCCACACATGTAACACACTCGGGGAGTAGTCCTTTTTCAAAACTTTGTTTCGATGCAATAATCACTTTCCAATTCCGTTTAATGAGTTCTATGAGTTGAATAGTGGCTCTTAATGGTAGACAGAGTGACCATAACTGGCAAGACCATGGTGATAACCATAACCGTAAGCGGGAGCAGCAACAACAGCTGGTGCGGCATATGATTTGTAGACGGGAGCAGCAACCACAGCAGGGGCAGCATGTACAACGGGTATGGCCTTGGCTGATACCTTGTAAGTATTGGCGTATGAGGTGGCCACTGGAGCATAAGCCTTAACTACGGGAGCAGCTACAGCTACTGGGGCAGCATAGGATTTATAAATAGGGGCTGCATGTACAACAGGGGCAGCTACTGCATGATATGAGGTAGCATAAGCTGGGGCGGAGAGAGCCACACCATGACCATAACCACCAAGGTAACCGGCTGAGGCGACAGCGAAGAGGGCAGAGAAGACAGCGATCTGTGGCAATAAACAAACAAATGATAATTTCAAATAATGGGAACTTGAATTTTGTTGATAAGTATTAAACGGTAAGTCACAGACAAAAACTAAGAATTTGTAAAAACATAATTTGTAAAAAATTTATTTTTTCAATTAACCTGTAAGCGTAACTTTTTAAAACACTATTTTAGGCTATGCTATGCGTGGATTTTTTCAATATTATTCAAATTGTCATCCCATATCTGAAGTACGTCTCGATTTTCGGTATTTAAAGATTCACCTCCGTTCAGAGGTGTTTACGTTCGGCATTCCTGCATAATTAATACAGCTATGCAGGATAACTTTAAGTGGCACAAGATCAGAAGTTAAAGTAGGAAAGGACCTATCGGAGCCCTTCAATACCGAACGAGGATTCAGACAAGTTGACAGTTTGTTGTGTGTTCTTTTTTACATCCTGCTGGAAAAGGTCATACGAAACAACACATGTTACTCGTCTACGCCGCTGACATCGATATAATGGGTCGAACATTGCGAGCTGTAACAGCCACCTTTGAACGAATTACGAAGGAGTCTGCCAAAGTGGATCTGGCAGTAAACGGCGAGAAGACCAAGCAGATCAACGCGCAAGACGTCCAGTAGACTCGGACCAACTGTGGAACTTGAGAACTATAGCTTCGAGGTAGTTAAAGACTTTATATACCTTGGTACTGCCATAAATAAAACGAATGATATCAGTTTTGAAATTCGGAGAAGGATTGTGATGGCCAACCGATGCTACTATGGTCTGAGCAAACAACTCAAAAGCAAGGCCACCTCCCGTGCTAGTATATGGATCAGAAGCATGGGTACTTGCGCAAGCAGATGAGACAGCTCTTGGAGTGTTTGAAAGAAAAATTCTCCGGTGGAAAGACCAAGTAGAAAACATAATCTTGGAACGTGGTCTTCCAAATTGGTGGATATGCACACAAGACCGACGTGCTTGGAAATCTTTTTTAAGCTCGGCTTATGGAACAACAGTTATGTAAAAAGCCAGCTATGTAAGAAAGTAAAGATTCATAAGACACAGAACATTGATCAATTCGGATACTTCATTTGTCTTGGAATAAGAGATTTTTTGCTTTCAGTTAAATATTTAATGGGTGATGTACCAGAAGGATTGAGTCAACATTATTTTCGAACTTAATCTCTTTTGGGAAATAATAATTTGATATCCAAAAATTGAAACACACTTCAAATGGCGAGTGCACTGCGCTGTACACCAAGCCATACATATGAGGGGTCGTGTCCAACTGAATCGTAAAACTGTCTGTCCAAATTTTTGCCAACTATTTTGGGAGTTCTGGATATGAGGGCTATTGCAAAAACTTGGACCTATATTGAAAAATAGGCTGAAATTAAATGTCGGCAAAATACCTAAAATGTCGAAATATGTACCTATATCAATTAAATTTCTTCGAAGATGTATTTTATTCCCTAAAATCCCGATATACCTGATCGGTTCCTTTATATAACATAAAGATTTAAGGAAAGTAGTAAAGTCCGACGGAGCCGACTATAAGATACTGTTCACCACTTTGGGTATATTCAACAGATGAATCCTAACAGACGTCGTATTTTTAAAGGACCAGTAAAATGAAATTGAATCCATAAACATGTCATTCTGCAACCGATACTAATTTTTTCATTTGGTCAGATATAGAAGCTATATCTAAATCTGAACCGATTTCAGGAAACTTAACACACATCATTCTAGACCTAAGCATTTAAGCTGTGCCTAATTACGTGCAAACCGAAAGATATAAAGGAACATTGGTACACCATTTACCTTAAATCGGAGGAAAATATATTTCGGAGCTATATCTAAATCTGAACCGATGTTCACGAAACTTAACACACATCATTCTAGACCTAATTCATTACGCTGTGCCAAATTTCATGCAAATCGAAAGATATTAAGGGACTTTCATGCACCATTTACATTAAATCGGACGAGTATATATAACGGAACTATATCTAAATCTGAACCGATTTTCACGAAACTTAACACACATCATTCTAGACCTAACTCATTACGCTGTGCCTAATTTCGTGCAAATCGGAAGATATTAGGGACTTTGGTGCACCATTTACATTAAATCTGACGAAAATATATATGGGAACTAAATATATAAATCTGAACCGATTTTCAGGAAACTTAACACACATCTTTCTAGACCTAATTCATTACGCTGTGCCAAATTTCGTGCAAACCGAAAGATATTAAGGGAACTTTGGTGCATCATTTACATTAAATCGGACGAAAATTTATATGGAAGCTATATTTAAATCTGAACCGATTTTTCCCAATTTCAATATTGTTCGTGCTTGGGCCAAATAACTGACATATGTCAAATTTCATCCAAATCGGACCATAAATGCGACCTGTACTTTGTTCACAAAAATACATGGACGGACGGATGGACGAAGAGACGGACATCTCTTCGACATCGTCTCATAAAGTGATTCTATGAATATTCTCAGAAAGAACCATCTGCCTCTCGCGTTTCATTTTGCCTATTACAAACATATGCACAAACACATAATACCCTGTACCACAGGTGGGTTCTAAATACGGCGGTTATATCAAAACGTATGCATATATTGCAAATATTCAACCCAGATTTTTTTATCCCGAATACCAAATTGAAACATGTTGGAAAATTCCGTTTAAACGTTGAAATATGATTTGTCCAATACTTGGACCGATATATCACATTTGAATCCTAGGAGTAGTATTAATTAGCAAATTTCTATCTGAACGATTGCTGTATAAATATGGTTACTTAGCAGACATGACCACTGCATGGGTCTCATATGTTTATTTCGAGGTTTTGAAAGGAGAATGACAAATTGAATATGCACTCCACGGAAGAGAACAGTTCCACGCCATTCCTTGAGAGAAACGACCCTTCTTAGACTATATAGACACTGTGTTGATATATGTCATTTACTTTTTCAGGTTACATTTTTCATTGAAAATTCCATAACCACAAAACCATTCGTAAGATTTCCCTTAAAAATTGTCACATATTTCGATAAATTTGCTGAAGGATATTAATTTGCACAAATATATCCTTTACATGTTTTTAATATCATTATTTCAAAAAATTATAACATTTATTTTTTTTTTAATCTTTATGCACCCACTTTTAAGTAATTTTTTCTATTTTTATTTACGCCACTTGGGTCTTAAGTCTTTTGTTTTCACACACACACAAATAACGATTTTTTCGTTTTTATTTATTATTCTTGAAGTGTCCATTATCCTTTCAAATAATTCTCGCCACACATCCTTACCAATTTGAACATTTTGTTAGAAGAGATTTGTTTAGCTAGATGCTTAGAATTGTTGTCTGTTTAAGTTTAAAGCAACTTGTGGTTTGAATGATTATGACAAAAGCGTGCAATATTTATAGTTCCCAACCATGTTAAGAAAAATCAAAACATACTGAGAGATTACAACAACCACAACGGCAATAACAAGAGCAATTCACACAATTCTAAATGAATGAATGAACATACTTACATAGGTATGTAAGTATGGTTGTATGCAGCCATGTCTAGTTGAAAAAGAGTGACTGAATGTCTAGCTGGGTGCTGGGATTGTTTGGTGGCTGAGTAAGTAGATTTACAAAAAAAAAAAAAATAAATAAAAAATAAAAAAAAAAAAAATAATCATACAATTACACTAGGCATTAATACAATGAAAATTTACAACTAATACCATGTGGCAAAGCAAAATAAATGACAAATAAATTAATTTAAAAATCAAGGATTTAAAAATGAAGCTATCGAGGGATTTGTTATTATATAAATAGGAATAAAAATATATTTTTGGGATGCATCATATTTTTGATATAGCCTCTATATCACTATCATTTTCGATCCACGATCGATTCGCAGAATTCTGTACAGGTCCCACCCTATTTTCTGTATGTTTAATTTTCAAGGCGCATTTTCAAATCGAAGTGACAGTAATTTAACATTGCGAGTAGTGTTGGCGGATTATTAGGGATACCATATGTATTTTTTTTGGCAAAATAGTCAGAGTTTTATAGAAACAAAAATTTATTAGTGGGGAAAGTATGGCATGGTCCACCAAGAGGTAAGGCACTGACCCTCATCAGTTCCCTTGGTTTTTTCTTAGGGATGTTTTCCCCCGCCGTTATTTTGAAATATAGACCCGTGTTTTAATATAGAACACATTTAAAGGTCCTGCTCCATTTTTGATAATAAAGTTAAAGTATTAAAGTACCCAGCCAAATTTTCCAATCTAGTTGTCATGAAAACGAAGATATTCCATACACCCAATCTTCCTCTTGAATGCAGGTTTGGTAAAAAATATTACGACGTACAATCGATGCATCAAATCCCTTCATATGATATTTATACATCTTCAAAATTTTGACCCTGACCCTATAACACCCTTACAACATTTTTGTGTAGGTTATCAATATGCCGGTACAATTGTAAAGGCTAATATATTAATTATTCCCTGCACCACACTGTGGTACAGGGTATTATGTCTTTGTGCATATGTTTGTAACAGGCAAAAGGAAACGAGAAAATCGGTTCAGATTTAGATATAGCTCCCATATATAGTTTCGTCCGATTTAAGGTAAATGGTGCGCCAAAGTCCCTACATATTATTCGATTTGCATAAAATGTGGCATAGAGTACTGAATTAGGTGCAGAATGATGTGTGGCAAGTTTCGAGAAAATCGGTTCAGATTTAAATATAGCTCCCAAATATAGTTTCGTCCGATTTAAGGTAAATGGTGCACAGAAAGTCCCTACATATCAATCGATTTGCATAAAATGTGACATAGAGTACTGAATTAGGTCCAGAATGATGTGTGCAATTTTCGTGAATATCGGTTAAGATTTAGATATAGCTCCCATATATATTTTCTTCCGATTTAAGGTTAATAGGGTACTAAAGTCCTTCTATATCTTTCGATTTGCACGACATTTGGCACAGAGCACTGAATTGGGTCTAGAATGATGTTTGCCAATTTTCGAGAAAATCGGTTCAGATTTAAATATGGCTCCCAAATATATTTTTGTCCGATTTAAGGTAAATGGTGCGCCAAAGTCCCTACATATCATTCGATTTGCATAAAATGTGGCATAGAGTACTGAATTAGATCCAGAATGATGTGTGCTAAGTTTCGAGAAAATCGGTTCAGATTTAGATATAGCTCCCAGATATAGTTTCGTCTGATTTAAGTAAATGGTGCGCCATAGTCCCTATATATCATTCGATTTGCACGAAATTTGGCACAGAGTACTGAATTAGGTCCAGAATGATGTGTGCCAAGTTTCGTGAAAATCGGTTCAGATTTAGATATAGCTCCCATATATAGTTTCGTCCGATTTAAGGTAAATGGTGCACACAAAGTCCCTACATATCATTCGATTTGCATAAAATGTGGCATAGAGTACTGTGGCATAGAGTATGGTGCGCCTATGTCCCTATATATCATTCGATTTGCACGAAATTTGGCGTAGAGTACTATATATATATATATATATATATACTTTCGTCTGATTTTAAGTAAGTGGGGTATTAAAGACCTAGAGCTAGGCCGATTGGCTTTGAAATTAATATAAATTAATCTCGTGCAAGTTTCCTTGATATCGGTTCAGATTTAGATATACCATAGCTTCCATATATAATTTCGACCATTTCAATGCGTGTTTGATTGATATTAAATTTTAAGCAGTGAATCATACCAAATAGCGTGCATAAAGTTTGCTTAAAGTCAATTTTCAAAGTATGGAATAGATTGCAGAATGGCATGTGTAAGGTTTACTTATAGACAAAGATCGCATTTTTAAGTTCGTTCAATTTAATGTCAATATTCCTTCGAAAAGACGACATCTGTAAAGATACGTATGTAGAATATCCCCAAAGTGGTGAAGGGTATCATATAGTCGGCCCAATCCGACTTTACTACTTTCCTTACTGGTTTTTTATTCGGATAGTTAGTTTTCTTTGCATTTTAGAAGTATAACATAAAAGGCTACCACATGTTTTGTAGTCCATTTTTTTAAATGTATTGAATCCTCTGTGGCTTAACATATCGACATGTTTCATTATTTTTATGATTCGTTAAAATATTTGTTTTTTTACTTAACCGGAAATATTTTAAATTTGTTCGCGCTATTTTTTCAAAAGAAGTCGGCATTAGAAAAAAACTCTTAATTTGAGTTCTTAAAACCACATAACCATGATTGAGATTTTTTTTCTTCATTGTGGTATGACATGCATTGAAGCGTAATCGTAGCAAAAAATTTGTTGAGTACTATTTTTTTCTATGGTTTAATGATTGATTTAATTAGTTAATTTAATAGAAATTAAATGTTAATTATCAACATAATCTTTGTTCGTAATTGTTGCAGTTCTTTTTGTATAGTCATTTGGGGTTGTTTTTGAATTTCGATAATTATGAGTTGTTTATTGCAAAATTTCTAAATCACAATAAATATAGAAGTACGACCCTGTCGAATAGTTTATGTTTATTTATTACTAGCAGACCCGGCAAACGTTGTTTTGCCATCGGGTAAAACGCAAAGAAACTATATATCGCACCATCTGTGGGACGAACTTAAAATTAAACAGAAACACTCCTCACGCCCCATAAAGCAAATACATAAAATTTGGTCAAAATTGGTTCTTGAGTTACGTTGTAAAAACACAAAAAATAAACTAAATATTGCGCCATCTGTCGGATGAACTTCAAACTACACAGAATCACTCCTCACGCCCCATAGTGCCTGTACATACAATTTTGTCATAATCGGTGCAGTAGTTTTTGAGTTTAGCGATCACGAACATACACGTAATTTATATATATATAGAAATATTTATAAAATTGTATTTATATTTTCCCCAGTAAATTCAATTTAAATACATGATCATCAAAATATAATTAGAATTATTAACACCTCAACTAATATGGCACACAGTCCATATAATCAACATTTGAATAATTTACTTGAAACTTGAAAATCAAAATATTATTTCAGCAATAAATAAATCAATCGATCATCGATTTTACATCCAATAAACATTTATTCAACCATGAACGGAAAATGTGTTCAGCTCATTAAGGCCCACATCGTTGAGGTAAATTGTGGAATAAATATTATTTGCCGAACTTGGCATTAAACAGTCATATCAAAAGACTTAAGCGACAAACACGTTATTAATCAAACATGAAATCGATCAAACGGCGATTACAAATCAACACCACCCTCCCTAAATCAATGCAATTGCATTTACCACACAAAGTCAATAGCAAAGTATTGATTCGTGCAATATATCTGTATGTCATTATTCACAATCACATACATAGATACATGTAATCGATATATAATTAAGTATTTTCGTATTTGTTTTCTAACGTTATTTTAATAACTGTAAATGGTATGAATGACCATAGCGGTTTGAAATGCGAGAAAAATACAAATTCTTAGAACTGATTCTTTGATATTTTTGTATCGGTTAGCTGTTAAGAATTTCCGTTACTGAACATTGTCACTTGAGCCCAGTACCGTTTCACTTTTTTTGTTGTTGGGGTACTTGCTGCTGAGTTTACTGAACGCCTGAGCGACAGAATTATTGCAAAATATCCTGTTTCATGGTTTAAAAAAAAAATATAACAACGAAACGGAAAATACTTAGAAATACCAAATTGACATGAGTTTTCACATTCGTAGCTAGGTTGAAATTAATTTAGAACAAACAATAGCTTTGATTGGGGGTTTTCAAATGCAGAGTGTCTGTGTGTGCAGTTTGGTGTTTGCGGTTGAGGAAATAAGAATTATATTACAATTAGTTGCAATTAATAGTTAATATACAACAAATATTCGTTGCAATTGAAAATCTGTCTTTGAACTTTCTGTGTTTTTGTCACATTAAACTGGAAATAATATAGTAACATGGCTACTGTTGACGTAATACATAGAATGAGTTTTGAACTTATTAATATCCGTCCATATATCTGCCCCTTTATAACGTCCCTTTGTCATTTCGTTCGCAAGACCTCAAATATACATTACATATTGGGGATAACCAAATTTTTTCAACATCTCGTTTTATACCCCTAAATTTGAGAACCTCGGTATGTGAAAAATCTTGGCCCAATGTAACATCCTGGAGGTCTGTAGCTTGATATTTCCTTTTCTCCTGGTAGTAATTTGCTATTACATAGCACACATATATCATATATTATTTTAAAGATTTTTTGGCACTTTTTCCTACCTAAAGGGCTGCAATTTGGCATTTCGGTGTTTGGAAGGCTGGCAAAAATTTGGTCTTAAAATAATTGTTATTTTTTTTTGACATAGCCCAATTTTCGGTATTTCGAGGCTTGTAGCCGTTCTTTATCAAAATAGGAATGCTTATTTTTTGACCAATCCCCTTCTCCATGCAAAATTTCGCGATATTTGGGTCATAATTGAGACCTCTGGAGCGACCAGAAAAACCGACAAACATTAAGTATTTAGTCCATTTCATCCCCTAAATATTAACCGATCTTCATCAAAAATAATGGGGGTCTGCATTGGGCCGAACCCATCCTACATGCAAAATTTCTTCAAGAATGGTCCATAACTGTGGCCTGAATTGTGTTTACAAAATATAATGGGCAGACGGACGGACGGACACACATGTCTAGATCGACTCAGCTAGTTGAGATATGACGATCGGTATACTTAAAGGTGGGTCTAGGACCAATATTTCGTGGCTTTACAAACATTTGAGGCTGCACAAAGCTATAATACCCTGACAACATAGTTGTGTAGGGTATAAAAATTGAAAAAATTAAAATAAGATAGTAAGATGGCTACTGTTGAGGTAATTCATAGAATAAGTTTTATTTTTTTTAAATATCTATCCATATATCTGTCCCTTTACAATACGCTCTAAGTTAGTCATATTGTTTGCAAGATCGGGAAATATTCACTGGTAACCCCATATATTATATATATTTATATTGTGGATCAGAATAAAATTCTATTCTATAAAATCTTTCGGATTTTAGCATATGGAAATTTTTGAAAAGGTAGATCGGTCCACGTGTTGGTTTAGTCCGCATATTTTATTTTGGAGGTTTTATTCGCATCTTCCTACCAAAAGGGCTGTAATCTGACATACCGGTTTTTTTGAGGCTGATATGGCCTTAAAAACAGGTCCAGCCCAATGTTTGGTATTTTTATGGATTTAGCCGGATTTTCCAACCCAAGAGGCTTTAATTTCAGTGTTTTGAAGGCTGACATAAATTTGTGCTGAAAATAATAGTTATAGGACCATATAGGACCAATTTTCGGTAATTCGAGACATTTTCCAACTCTAAATTGACATTTCAACTCTTAGCTGGCATACATATGCGTAGAAAATAATAAGTATAGGTAAATTTTTCGACATGTCCCATGTAGAGGGTGAGATGAAAAAACTGCAACCAACTTCAAACAGCTGTCATTTCTAAGCCACTCGCCCGAATAAATCTTTTGTGTCTCGTACCATGGCTCGTTACCGTGATACTGGTACCGTAGCCCGACGTCAAGGAAGTGAACGGAAGAAAACAGCAACATCAGCAGAAATGGTTGGAAAAGTGAAGAAGCGACTTGATCGAAACCCGCGTGACCAAAAAATGGCTCGTAAGCTGAACATATCGCAATATTCCATTCGGCAAATATTGAAAAATTAGCTCGGGGTAAAGCCATTGAAATTCCAAAAAGTGCAAGAACTTACACCACAACAGAAAGAAAATAAACGCAAAAAAGCTACAGCGTTGCTTCGCATAGCCGAAAGTGGTGAACTGCCGAATTTGGTTTTCTCCGATGAGAAAACATTCGTTGTCCAGCAGTTTGTAAACACACAAAATGATCATGTTTACTTGCCAAAGAGGTTAGCTGAAATTTTGCACTTTCGGTTGGCCACCAGAACTCAAGCGCTGGCCATGGTGATGATGTGGGTCGCCATAACAGCCGATGGTCGCTCCCCGCTCGTATTTATCTACCGTGGCATCAGAATAAATGCCGAATATTATCGCGAAAATATTCTGGAGGGTATACTAAAACCTTGGGCATGCAAACATTTTGCCGCAGACCTTGGACATTCCAAGAGGACTCAGCACCATCGCACTCAGCACGCGCCACCCAAAAGGGTTACACAATGAGGATCCTCGCTTCATTTCCATCGCACAATGGCCACCAAAATCTCCGAATACAAGTCCGTTGAACTATTGTGTCTTGCGTATTTTGAAAATCAAGGTTGACACTAAAAAAAACCAAAGTGCAAGCGCTTCGCCGGCAATGGACCAGAGTGTGACGGTTTCATTGGCCGTTTGAAGGCCATAATTCGTGACAATGGTGACCAATTCGAACAAATCTAAACTTATTCTAAAATTTGATGCTCTTTCCGACATTTTTTGCTTTCATACAATAAAATTAAAAATTAAGGCGTTTGACTTTGTTGCAGTTTTTTATCCCACCCTGTAAAAAGATCCCGCCCAGTTTTTAGTATTTTGAGGGTTTTAACTGCATTTTCATAGCAAAAAGGCTCGCATTTGGCTTTTCTGGGTTTTGGAGAGGCGCTGGCGTACATCTGTGCAGAACATAAAATTCCGCCCAATTTCCCATATTTTCAAAATTGTAGGTGTTTTAAAAAAAGGTTTGCATTTTATAGCTTTAATTTTTAATAATGAATTACATGCATCTGTTGGCTTTCTAGTTTCAATTAAAATTTGAATGTATTTTCATATATTCCCACATAAAAAAAATTCATCTGCCTACGCAAAATAATATTTAAATGCCATTTTCACTAAAACTACCTTTCCAAATCTACAACAGAGCAATTAAACGACATTTATAACAAACATTTATTAATAAATTAAAATTTTTCAAATCCAGGCAAATAAATGCTCTATATTATTAATGATATGTTACGCATAATTAATGGCGAAACACCAATGATAACTTGATGCAGTTGTTTATATATTTTTTAATTTTTGTGTTAGTAGTGTCAGCTCAACAAGCTTGTAATCCAATGTGGTGTGGACACCTAAGCGTGTGGTCCTCGAAACAACAAAAACAGTTTGTAAGCTGATAAATCAACATTTATTGTAATTGATACACTCTTTCAAAATACGAATAAAAAAATCGAAACGCTACTTTTTGCAGGGGTAATAATTGGTTAAATGACACGAACACAAGTTGCGATAATTTACGCAAAAGATAAAAAGAACAACACCAAATCAAGGAGGTGAAAAGGTAAATGATTTATGACACAAATGGTGGATTGATTTCAATAGGCAAAACTTGGAGAGGGAAAATTAGAAGAATAATTTTTCCTCTCCAATGCTTACTTAAACGACATTAAAATTTTTACAAATTCAGCAGCGTTCAGTAACAGTCCAACATATCTATATCGCATTCAAAATTTAAATATTCTGACAGCATCACAAATTACCACCAATCATAGTTATAAATCCAAACCGGCTGAATGTGAGTCAGTGGCATAAATCATAAAAACTGATTTGAGTTCTGATTCAATCAATTCTATGATTTGATCTAAATTTCAATTGGATTTGCAACCCAACACTTGTCAGAGCAAAACAATTTTGTTTTGTTTCAAAAAAATAATCAAACACCCAGTTAATGTCAAGGTCATTAAAGGCCGTAAGCTTGTCGACTTTGTCTTTTAGCAATTACTTACAAAAAATTGCTTACAA